AGACAGCTTTACTTATTGAGGAGGAGGAGTTCTGGGAGCCCGGTACCAGTACCACTTCAGGGAAATCAGATTTGCAGAAAACCCATCAACCTTTTTGTTCTGTTTCACTCAGTTTAGAGCCAATCAGAGTGATTGGTTTGGATCCAAAGGACGGGACGCTGGTGCTGCACAATATATATCCCATCACAGCTACTGTTAGCGACCAGTAGCTACATTGCTAACAACTACTGGTCGCTAACAGTTACTGTTAGCGACCAGTAGCTACATTGCTAACAACTACTGGTCGCTAACAGCTACTGTTAGCGACCAGTAGCTACATTGCTAACAACTACTGGTCGCTAACAGCTACTGTTAACGACCAGTAGCTACATTGCTAACAACTACTGGTCGCTAACAGTTACTGTTAACGACCAGTAGCTACATTGCTAACAACTACTGGTCGCTAACAGCTACTGTTAGCGACCAGTAGCTACATTGCTAACAACTACTGGTCGCTAACAGCTACTGTTAACGACCAGTAGCTACATTGCTAACAACTACTGGTCGCTAACAGTTACTGTTAGCGACCAGTAGCTACATTGCTAACAACTACTGGTCGCTAACAGCTACTGTTAGCGACCAGTAGCTACATTGCTAACAACTACTGGTCGCTAACAGCTACTGTTAACGACCAGTAGCTACATTGCTAACAACTACTGGTCGCTAACAGTTACTGTTAACGACCAGTAGCTACATTGCTAACAACTACTGGTCGCTAACAGCTACTGTTAGCGACCAGTAGCTACATTGCTAACAACTACTGGTCGCTAACAGCTACTGTTAACGACCAGTAGCTACATTGCTAACAACTACTGGTCGCTAACAGCTACTGTTAGCAACCAGTAACAGCTAGTGATCTTAGGCAGGAGTTCGTTCATCCAACCAACTCCCTTCATCCAGTGGGTGGTGCAGGTTGCTCTAATCGATAGCAGCCACACAGGAACATCCGCTAGAAGGAAACAAACGCACCCAGTACAACACTTTTATTTTATTGGCTGAGAGGTTGCTCGACGACAGATCCAAAAGGTGCTTCCAAAAGCGAGCAGAGACTGAGGTCCGATCCTCTCCCTCTGCTTCATGTTGGGGGTTAAGGGTCGCAGTGTGTCCTACATTCTCCACTTCCGCCCATCTTGGTTCTATTTCTGCCCTAAAGCAAACTCTGCATTTTTATGGACTTCTGCAAACTGCATTACCCACAATTCATTGCTGCACGTGACGTTTTGAGTTAAAAGGCGGATTTATGGCAATGATTTGTTGTTTTTCCAACTTTATGGAAAATTAAAAGAAAATATTATGACAAGGCACATTAGTAATAAAAAGTTTGGTTTAATAAACTGAGCAGGAAAAGAAGAAATGAAAATAAACTAAATGAGGAAAGAAAAAATGTCACAAATGAAAGACAAATTTCAAATCTTAAATTAAGATATTAACATATTGGATTAAAGATTGTAAATAATAAATGATTTCACTTTAAAAGTGGAGTTGATTTTTAGAAAGTAGTATTTGAGAATGAAACTTGGGATTAGATAAATCATCATTTAACTCTGTTAGAAGACCAAATTTCATTTTCTAAAACTAAAGATGGAATAGATTTATTGTACAACATCCACTTTTCAAAGCTTTCTAAAAACTTTAATGAAGTTGCAATTTATCATGATTTATAAACAAATGTTTTCTTCTCAGACTTGAGGAGAAAACTGATGAATTTATTGTTACATTTTTGCTTCATAAAGTCACAACATTCAGTTTTTTTAAAGGATATTTTTAGTCCTTTAGTCTTTTTATTTTTCAAATGTAGCAGCAGACGTTTTATTATTTTTTATTTTTGCTGTATGTTAGCTAAACTTTACACCAAACTAACTTTAAGCTGCATAAAACAGATGGTTTTATGGGTAAAATACTGTCTCTATTAGTCGAATGACAGACTGATGACTTAAATATTAATATATTTAATGTGTAAAATCTTGGAAATATGGCAAAGTTCACAGAGCGAACCAATAGAATAAAATCAGTTTTCAAAAGTATTGAAATAATATTTTTTCCTCAACATGAGTGATTCTATTAAATTTTCTGTATTCAACAAGTCACAACAGAACAAATATCTCCAACAAAAATACCTTTAGTGTGCATTTAAAATTATGTTTTGTTGCAGTTGTACTTTCAGCAGCAGGGTGCCTAAGCAGTGACCGGCCGCCATCTTGGATGTGGCGTTATGTCCACACTTCATAGGGGTTGCTGTGAATACTGAGCACTGATAATGGGCCTGAGTCTGAGCGCGATGGACAAGTTTGGAGAAGAACGACATGAAGTCCTGTTTTCAGACTTATGTGCTCTTGGATTATGGCAGGAAGATTCCCCCACAGTGATTAATTTATCGTGAGCACTGGATGAAACTGTAGAACCTGACCTGGATGTTTCTGATCCAGCTGAGCTTTCTGGCTTTTTATAAATATTAACTTCATCACCAATCATTTGTTGGTATTGATTTTGTCTGTTTAACCGAGTCATTTTATTGTGTTTTGTATTGAATTTCTAATTGTTGTCCGCTTAGCCGCGTCACTGTCTCTCAGCTCTTTCACTTACTTATTACGACGTTCAGACTACAGATGCTTTTCAGGGTGTTTCGGTTCAGTTCGTGCCAGTTTAGCTGGAGCTGGTGTTCCGGGTTGATTGGTCCTGTTGTAAATGAGAACGGAAGATGTTTATCTCCGCACACATTTTACCGCGCCGTTTCCATCCGAGAACCGTTTGATGATTTAACTCCAGGTTTTCAGTGGATCTTTTTCAACATCAGCCTCGGGAGAAAAACTACATACTCGTTGTGGTTGTTTTGATCCCGGCTTCACTGCGGCCATCTAACCTCAGTGGAGCTGAAACACCGGAGCTAATATGGCTAAGCTAACGTGCAGCGGGTTTCCCATTGAGCATGCGCTGGACGTGTTTCGTTTGGCGACAGCACAACAAATAAAATATATGACTCGAACCGGACCCACTGAGCCCGAACTGGGTCGACAGCCGAACAGAACTCACTGCGTAACAGAGCTCCTCAGTTTCGGCTAATCCGTCATGTTAGCTTCTTCTTCGTTAGTAAACAGGAAATGCAGTTGGGGAATATTACCTCCACCTTTCGGCTAGAGGGTGGAACTGCAGGTACAAAAAAAGGAAAACAAAAAAACATTGAAAATGTTTAAATCGGACTGATTTTCCACATTACCATCTTCTCTTCAGATTTTTACAACTTAAAAGCCACTACGGATCATAACTGGGACAATCTCCTCCTCACCTAGTTAGCTCAATTATGCATGAAATACCTGGTTGGTCCAGATGTTCCTATCAGAACCTTTCAGTACCAGACTACAGGTCCACTGCTGCTTCCGAGAGGTTCTGGAGTAGACTCCTTCAGCCGATGAAGCTGCTGAACTTAGAAAGTGCTCCTGTGATGAGTTTTTCAGCTCCACCTCATCACATCACATCTGGCTACAGCTGATAGGATGTTTATGTCCTCGGCTTTCTTTGAGTGGGTCGGGTTCTCCATAAACACTCAGATTGTCTTGGATCAGGCAGAAACAAGTAGGAATATTCAAAACCAATCAGTCACTGAAACAACGTCAGCACAGGACCCTTTGGGCCCAACCCAACACTTGGACCAGAACCAAACAGCTGAAATCCAACTGATTGAACAAACAATCTGAAGGTCTCACCTGCTGGGCAGAACCGGGTTCTGTCCGGTTCTGTCGAACTGTATTGGTGGTAGAACGTTGCTATGTAGGTTCTCTCCTCCTCAATGATTGGAGGGAAGATGGAAACCAGCAGAGTCTTGTACACCAGCTTTTAGCTTTTTAGCTTTAGCCTTTTTGCTTTTATGCAGCAGGAAATTTCTTACTTTTGATTGGTTTATTCCGGTGGGCTGGAGGTCCAAACCACTTCAGCAGATTGAAAGCACAAATTACAAAAGCGCTACAACGTGAATGAAATGGAAGAGGTATGTCCCAGTGGGAGACGTAAGAAATCACTGATCGGACTACAGCAAGTTTTTACTTTCGGACTAGAAGTTACTCTGGCGAACTTAGTGTTCATTAGAACGGGTTGGAAGTTAGAAGTCTGCAGAAAGTCCTGGATCTTCTTTGAAACTTTGCCTTCAATTTTACTTTTTTTGGAGCAAATGCCTGAAGAAGTGTGGCAAAAAATGGGTCAAATTCTGTTAGTGTTGGATTTTTCCCCCTCTCCAACTCAATGTATAAAATGCAAGATTGGGTTAGGAAAATCAGTGCAACATCACCTGAATTCATTTCAGGCTTTTTTTTTATTTTATACATCCTTTCCGTTCTTTGGTTCATGTTGGAGCGCCTTTGTAATTATGCTTTCAATTTGCTGAAGTGGTTTGCACCTCCGGGCCACCATAGTTTCTACATTATGCAGCCCATGTAGAGGTGGGCGGATCAATCCTGATATCGATACATACTCCCGCCTCCACGGACTGATGCACACACGGCTTCATCAAAGTCTCCTCTCTGCCTGTCAGAGCTGCGCTGCTCCAACCTCCATCCTGTTGTTGCACCGTCACGAGGATTCTTCTTTATTGATGCTTTATTTAAATTTCACTTTTGGTTCTACTGAAGGAAATAATTTCTTTATTCTTTTTATTATATTCTTGTATTGTTCAACCTGAAAAAAAAGAATAAGTTTGAAACTGTTTACAGTGTTTGTTGTGGTTTGTCAGCGCTGAAGCTTTTGTCGTCACGTACAACGTTTATCCTCGGTCTATCCTAGGTCTTTTGGATCAACGAAGCTCAAATAAAAAACAGTATCGGTATTGATATCGGCGATACTGCCCTACATTGACTTGGTGTCAGATCAAAACTCCCAGTATCACCATGTAGACCTTTTACTGTCATTCATGTTCATTATCAAGTAGATTTTAATCATTCTTATTATCACTAAGAAACTGAAGCCTCTCCAGATTCAGAGGAAATCTTCTGGACCAAATTGAGCTGCTGTTGGACCCGGCCGGTGCCAGAGGCTGGGTCTCCCGGATGCAGAACGGTCTCTGCGCTGGTTGAGCTGGACTGCAGCACAGAAACCAATAGACCTACTGGAGTTCACTGGGAACCTGCTGGTTTCTTCTACTACTCTCCTATTGTCCGTCTCCAGCCGTCTTCTTCTCCGGATGCACCCGCTGGACGTTTCTGCTGTTAGCAGGGTTTTTTTTCTCTCCACTGTCGCCCCCTGCTGGTCATTATAACGGCTTCCTGTACCAAACTGAACTGAGCTATAACAGGAAGTAAATTGATGCTTTTATTGTGAAACCTTTGATAAATTTTATACAAACCCAAACTATGAGCACAGTTGGCTGATAAAAATTGATTCAATGAAAGTCCATATTTACAAAATAGAAAGTTGTGTCCTTCCTACAAAAGAACTGAAAACCTGAAAGAAGTGGGCGGAGCTTCCAGTTTCTCCAGTTCATAAACATACTGAGAGAAAATCATCCCCAGAACCTCTGTCTGCCTGTGGACGGAGGCAGCGCCTCGTCCGGCGGCGGCGCGGCGCCGAACACGACCCCGCCGACTCCACCGTGAACAAGAAGTAGAAGTTGGCCGCCATCATGACGAGGCTGGGCAGGAAGGAAAGGCCGAAGCCAAAACCGCGGAGGCTGCTGCCGAACGCCGCCGCCAGCCAGTACGCCAACCTGGAGGAGCAAAGAAATGTTGACCTTTGACCTTCTGCCAAACCGCCCAAAATCACTGTTAACCATCGACCTTTGGTTGGTAGGCAGCATCCTGAACCAGTTGCCAAGGCGATACTCACCGGCCGAAGGCAAAGACGATGGACAGCAGGGGGACGAGCTTCAGCTGCTCCTGGGTCAGGTACATTGCCATGACAACCAGCTCCAGGAAGTAGATCAGGAAGAGGGAGGCGGAGTCAGAGATGAAGCGTCGGTGGACGGAGACTTCCTGAAGCTCCGCCTCCTTGACGACGTCATCAACGACCGGCTGAGTGGATCCGGAGCGGAGCCGGCTGACGCCCAGGACTAGCCAACCTTGGGGGCGGAGAGGGCGACAGGTAAGACAGGTGAGAGACAGGTGAGAGACAGACAGGTAAGTCCCAGGTTATCTCTTCACTCCGTCTTACCGAGGACAACGGGAGCGGCGGCGAACACAGAGCAGCGCAGAGTGTAGACCAGCCTGAGGGGAGCGCCGTCCAGCGGGGGGGCGTCGAACGGCAGGAAGACGTACCCCCCCCACACCAGGAACGGGAAGAGCAGCGCTGATGTCATCAAGGAGACGCCTAGCTTCAGTGCATCTCTGCCTGAACATCTCCCTTTATCTGGACACACAGGTGAGACAGACCAGTGAGGGCTACGCCCCGCCCACCTGGAGCAGAGGTCTCAGGTAAACTCACAGGTGGAAGGGGGCGTGTCCTCAGGGAAGTCAAACTGGTAGCCATGTTGGTTGTAGTCCACCTGGCGAGGGCTCAGGAAGGGACTCCTCTCTGATTCCATTTCCCAGGATGCCTCTGTGTCTCTGGAGGCGGGGGAGGGGAGGACGGTGACAGCCGGGCTGAACACCTGAGCAGCTTTCTCTGGAAGCCGGTTCTCCTCCAGCTGGCCCCGCCCTCACCCGTAAGCTCAGCCCTCTCCATCCGGCGGCCCCGCTCGCTCTCCGTCCAGCTGGACGCGTCTGACTTCGCGATGACCCCGTCTGTTCCTCCCCCCGTCCCCTTCTCTCTGTCCTCCGGCCACTGCAGCGTCCCGGGCTCCAACGTGGTCGCAGGTTCATCTTTGTCTCGCTTTGCGTCCGTCCCACCACTCACTATCAGGGTTGCTTTCAGGAGCGGCTCATCGCTCAGAGACGTCCATATCTGAGGACAGAGAGAGGACAGTTGGACCCTGGTGGGATGCTCAGTGGTCCATCAGACACCAGCTGGCGCCTGGAGGACGGATTGTTCAGGTGAGACCATGTCTGAATGTCTCACAGTAACAATCTGATGCAGGCATCTGGTTCTCCTGGTTCTGGGGGTCATCATCAGGGCCAGGAAAATTTGAACATTTTATTTTATTTTTTAAATCAAAAGTCCAGAGCGGAAACTTTGAATTGCGTCTCTATATGGTTGAGAGGTGCTAGGTGACTCTGTCAAAAAGGCAGATCCATGTTTCTTTAGCGATCAGAGTGAACAGAGACTGTCAGCTGGAGACGTTTTGAGCACAAGTATACAAGATTTGAGAAGCCCTGCTTTCAAAATACAAATGTAAGCAAATGTATTCAAAGTTTTGAGAAGAAAAGACACAAAATCCTGCTTTCAGACTGAAATGTGTGTTCTTGGATTATAGTAGGAAAATTGCCCCATACTCCTGCGGGTTCACAACTCCGATGGCTGCACAGATTTGTGACATTTACTGTAATATTAAAGATCATAACGGCGTTTAGTTGACTCGTTCATTTGTGGCTGTTTTCACGTTTATTGCGCGTTCATATTAGTCTCCGTGTTTAAAGTTTTCTGGAGAAGTTCGACATCATTCACAGCAAATACATTGACTCGATATGAAAGACAGCGGGACGCATCGTCTGATGGGACGATGGACAGGGAGAGTCTGACTAGAACTGAATGGTTGTCACTCAAATTCTGGGCTTATTTCAAAACCCAAATGAGTAGACCTGCGACTCATTACATTTAGAAAAAACAGGCTTAGCTGCTCATAATTACTGGACTGGCAACAGAAACTGAAAATAGTTCCTGTTTTGTCCAAATGTGCATCTCCTTCCATTGCTCATGTTGCTGCTGATGCTGTTGCTGAGAAACGGCGGTGACTCCACACAGGAAATAATAACCCTAACCCTTAACCCTTAACCCTTAACCCTAAAACAAATCACGCAAAAGGATTTGGATCAGTAACTGTATCAGATTACTGGAATTTAAAGCAACGCGATTACTTGTTACTGAAGAAAGTAATGAGTAATCACTACTTTACTTTGTAACGAGTACTTTGTAACGAGTTACTGACGTCACTGCCTCTATTTGTAATGTTGGTTTAAAGCTCTGATGATTTTTGGATAAATGGGTTTATTGAGATAAAACCAGCAGAACCTTCACGCTCTTAATTTGCAGCTCAGTTTCTGATCTGAGGAACCGAACCATGGACGGAATGAACTGGTTAGAACCTCCAGAACCAGTCGGTACCAGAATGACTGATCACATTTCATTGGATCCGGACCAGTGGGATCCAAGGGTTTTATTTCTGAATATTTCATCAAAAACAAACAGAACCTTTTGGACCTCCGGAACCATCCGAGTCCACATAACAGGAAACGTGTTTGCAGTTTGACGTCACTGTGGCTCAGGTCCACCTGGAACCGCTTACGTCACGACGAATACCGAACCTGCTGACGGAGAAAAAAACTGAAGGCTCTGACCTTGGTTCTGGTCCGGTTCGGGTCCGGTTCTGGGCTCGGCGTCTTCTCTTCTTCTTCTTCTTCTTCTTGCGATACTTTGCGGAAGTTCAGCCCAGGTGAGGTCAGTACAGGTGAATTAAAGGAGAGGTCCTCCTTAAAGGAACGTGTCACAAAATTTAAAAGTCAGCCGACGGATAAGTCAACTTCGGAACCGAAAGTAAAACCTGGAGGCGGAATCAGCGGACCGGAACCGGAGAAGTTGTGCTGAGAAATATGATGAAGAATTTTAATTCAATGAACCAGACTGACTTTACTTCATGTTTCCTTTATGTACGTAGTGCTGTCAAATACACATAGAAACTGCTTTGGTGAGGTTCCGGTTGGGTTCTGGTTGGGTTCCGGTTGGGTTTCTGGTGAGGTTCCGGTTTGGGTTCCGGTTGGGTTAGGGTGGGTTCTGGTTGGGTTCCGGTTGGGTTCTGGTGAGGTTCCGGTTGGGTTCCAGTTGGTTCGGTTGGGTTCAGTTGGTTCTGGTGAGGTTCCGGTTGGGTTCCAGTTGGGTTCCGGTTGGGTTCCAGTTGGGTTCTGGTTGGGTTCCGGTTGGGTTCTGGTGAGGTTCCGGTTGGTTCCAGTTGGGTTCCGGTTGGGTTCCAGTTGGGTTCCAGTTGGGTTCCAGTTGGGTTCCGGTTGGGTCCGGTTGGGTTCGGTTGGTTCTGGTGAGGTTCCGGTTGGGTTCCGGTTGGGTTCTGGTTGGGTTCCGGTTGGTTGGTTGGGTTCTGGTGAGGTTCCGGTTGGGTTCCGGTTGGGTTCTGGTGAGGTTCCGGTTGGGTTCCGGTTGGGTTCTGGTTGGGTTCCGGTTGGGTTAGGTTGGGTTCTGGTGAGGTTCCGGTTGGGTTCCGGTTGGGTTCTGGTGAGGTTCTGGTTGGGTTCCGGTTGGGTTAGGGTTGGGTTCTGGTGAGGTTCCGGTTGGGTTCCGGTTGGGTCCAGAGGTGCTGCTCTGGTTTCCTCTCCCTGCACTGCAGATGATCTTTGTCGAACATCTCAAGTGATTGTAGGTCTTTGTGATCAGCAGCTTTGGAACTGAAACTAATTCAGTTCCAAAGCTGTCTTTTGTGGAATGTTCAAAACAATTCCCAATTATCCTAATTTAAAATTTTGGTGTGCAAATTTGAATTTTTTCACATATTTGTATGAATGAATTTGGGGCAAAATTATACATGCATACCCTAACATAAACACTTAAATGTGGTTAAATGTTTGCACCCATCACCTGACTTCTGGAATAAATCTGTCTGGATAGTTGTACATTTCTTATTCTGGACCCAACCTCTGGACCGGTTGGGTCCAGAGGTCCAGCACCTCTGGACCCAACCGGAACCCAACCGGAACCCAACCGGACACGTTTCAGACGTGTCCCCATGTTTGGACCTCTGCTGCTCTTTGTCCCCCGGGTTTCTGCTGGTTCTCCAGTCTAGTTCGGACTGTGGAGTCGGTCAGGCCCCAGCAAGCGGTGTTTGGGCATCGGGGGCTGGTTGGCCAGGGGCCACACTTGGTTTGATATTTTAACTTGTATTTTCTATGTTTTTTTTTAGTTATTTTGTTTCCAGCCCTTTTGATTCTTTATATTTGTTTTTGAGCTGACATTGTTTTTCTTTTGTTGTATTCGTTCATGGTTGTTGCATTTATTGTTTTTTTTTTTTTTTCTGCTTGCAGTGCTGAGGTCCGGTTTCTGGTGTGGTTCTGGTTCCTGTTCTGTGTGCCGTAGGGTAGGGTTAGGTTAATGTCTGGTGCATTAAAGGCTTTTTGTTTGCTGTGTTTGCTGGATGCCGTCCCTATAGTGGCCCCTTCTGCCGGTCCCCTCAGTGACTGTAGTTTCTTCTGTTTTTCTTAGTTTTTTGTTCTAAAGAACTGGTTTTAAAAAAAGAGCATTTTCAAAGAATTTAATAGGTTTTTGTCAATTTGAGACTGTCTCAGATGTCTCAGTTCTCTGCATAAATCCAACTTGTGTGCCTTAAAACAAGGTAATATTCTCAGGGTGGCGTCAAGCAACTTAATATTTGGTCCAGAAATGTAAATTGCACAATATGTCTGAGTTTTTTCACCACATTCATTTTTATTGTAGCTTTGATTCCTGCAGCAGAAACCGTTCACATCGTCAACGGTCCAGAACGCTGCTGCTGGAGTTCTGACTGAAACCAGGAACATGGAGACGCCGACAGGGTCGGCCCTTTAAGCCCAGATGATGTCATAGATTTGAGAGCGTCTGATGGTTCCGTCAGAATGTCTCACCTGTGGAGGTGAAACAGCGAATCAGAGAATATTGTAATACAGATAGTAAAATGTGTTGATCGATGAATTATGGGACGAAATTAACAGCCTTTTATGGAAATCATCTGTCTCTAGTTTTGTAAAGTATCTACCAACCGGATATTGTTATCCAAGACATCCAGTTATGAAAGCCGACCATCACTGAATGAATCAGTCAAGTGATGGAAAATATTTCTGTTAAAACTGATCTTTCTGACGGGAGGGGGCGCTGTGCTGAAATGTAACAATTTCACAAAGTGGGTTGTTAAAGTTTTATTTAATTTTCCTTTGGAATCAATAAAGTATTTTAGTATATTTATTACAACAATGAATGTATGTTAAATTTTGTAAATACAAATAAAAAGTGAATCATAAAGCTGAACCGCAGTTCGCGTTGCGGCCGGCAGGCGGCGCCTCCGACCGTGCTTGCTGTGCGTTTTGTGTGATGGAGGGTTGTCATGGTGACAGCGCCAGTGGCCGTCATCGATCCAGATCTGCGGTGATCAGTTATTGTTTCTGTCGTGGTTCCGCTGCGGCTCCGTCTTCTTTGTGTCTGAGCGGAGCCGGTGGAGGGTTCGAGTCGCTCACCGGCGCTGCCCGCTGCGCTGCGGGGCGGGCGGGGTCGGGTCCTGCACTTCCACGTCACTCGGTTGTCTGTTGTCAATGCCTCTGCCGGCGGGCGGAGCTAATCGATCCGGTGCGGAGAGCGTTTGATCACCAGTCACGTGACTTCTGGTGACGCTGTGGCTGGCTGATGTGGGTCATGTGACTTGGTGACACGTTGTCATAGAGACTAACCCCACCCAAAATGTCGACTGCGCTGCTCCAGCTCCAGAAACGAGCGCTCTTCTCCATGTGTCGGTGGGCGGGGCTGAAGCTACGAGCAGCGACGGGATTAGCCGAGCGCGGCGGCAGCGGGCTGCGCTCTGATTGGTCAGAAGTACAGAGACGCTCTGTCTGTCAGAGCCAAGCCCCGCCCCCTACACAGACGGCGGAGCGCTCCGGACCGGGACCAGAACCTCCGGACTTTGTGCTCAGAGTGAGAAAGACTGACCCGGACCGTCGGAACCGATCGGAACCGATCTGCGGCTCGATGTCCCGGCTGCTGGAGAGCCGGAGGGAAAAGGACCGGATGAAGGAGAGCAGCCTGAAGGTGAGCCGAACCCCGGAACCGCCGAACCCCGCCGCGCGCGACCACCCACACTTTAATTATACACACTTTATAATGGGTCGAGCGGAACCGAAAGACCGAACCCAGCAGACCGGTTCCTGGTCCCGGTCCGATCTGACCGCACATCTGGAAAACACGGACCGAACCGCTGGTTTCGTTACTTCGGCGGGCTGCCTCAGTGAGCGGGCCGGGTTCGGGTCAGGGCCCGGTTCTGGATCCACTTTAAAGGGAAACGGAGCAGGAAAGTTCGGAGATCAGAAACGGGAAACAGATTTTTTTTTCTTTCCGCTAACTCAAACGAGCACGCGCGTTTCTTCTACTGCGCGTGAACAGGATGCGCGTTGCGTGGGTCACAGCGTGTGCGAGAAGTGTGGGCCGGTACCGAAGCGGTTCGGTGAGTTGGACTTTTAAAGGAGGCATCGTGGCCGCTTTGTCCTGCAGGAGGAAGCGGGAGGGGGAGGAAGATGCGCGCGCCGCGTGCGTCGGGGCGCGCGCGTGTCACTGTCTCATACAGGAAGAGATGGGAAGGTCTGACCTCTGACCCACAAACCCAAACAACCCGGGTCTGACGGAAAACCCGACCTGTTCCAGAGCCAGAACCGGTCCTGGTTCTGATTTTGAGGGTTCTTTAGACTTCCACGTTTGTGATCAGAACCGTTGGGCTCTTCCGGTCCTGTCGGTGCGGCTGAGCTGTGAAACACGGCGGAGGTGTCATGGTGGTGGGAGAGGGTCGCTGGTTTAACTGGGAGCTCTGCTTCATGAACACTGGAACCTGAGCTGAGCTCTGGTTGGTCCGTCAGTCTCGGGCGCTGAGTTCTGATTGGTCGCTGGAGCGGACCCTAAGTGTTCTTCATCCCGATGAAGATGAGGCAGAGGGTGTTCGCACGCCTACGCCTCACCGAAGCATCCTGGCCGTTGCCATGGTTACCTGGAGGCTGCAGCAGCTCTGCCTCCCACTCACTCCACGGCTGAAATATCGATCGGAGCCTGGTGATGAGACGGCCGTACGAAGGGTTTATGATCGATTTTATGATCAATAATCTCAGCCATTTAATGAAGCAGCAGAACTGACCTGAAGTGATTCTGCTGAGGAAACCTGCAGGTTGCTTCACCTGGATAGCAGCAGGTTGCTTCACCTGGATCGCAGGAAGTTGCTCTCGTCTCAACTGCAACATTTTTCTTTCTGAGTCAAAACAACCAAACCCTCTGAGCAACCTGTTCACCTCCGTGCCTGTGGGGGCGCTGTGAGACCTGGTATCCATGGCATTGGAACAACCATCTCACCTTAAATGGAGTTGGTTAAATATTTCAGGGTCAAAGGTCAAACATCAGGTCTGTGGTGGGAGAAGAAGATCGTTGCTGGGTGCCTCAGCAACATGCTAACAGTGCTAGTATCTCAGCCAGAGTTGCTGCGTCTCGCTGGCTCCCTCTGCTGGCTGGGAGCTTTAGGGACGTGATTGGCTGTTACTGTCATACCTGGACTATCACCTTATCTCCTTGCAGACTTCAGTGGACATGACCTGGAACCACCTGACTCTCTCTCTCTGCTCTAACCCAACTCGCTCGCTCGCCCGCCCTCCCTCTCTCTCCAACAGAGCTCCCTTTCTTCCTCTTCATCACTGAACCCTTTATTTATCCATCAGCTGATCACTGACTGTCACTGAGCGCCGCTTCTGCCCTGAGCCGGTTCCGACAGACCCACTATGATCCATATGGACCCAGCTTGACCCAGTCTGACTCGGCCAGAACCAATTTAACAAAGTCAGAACCGTTTTCTTCAGCCATCTGGGGTGAAATGCATCCTGGGAATAGGAATCCAGCTGAGCATTAGAGACGATTAATGAACATGCAGGTGGGCGGCGCCAGATTAAGAACCGCCCACCTGAATCAAAGGTACAACCAGAACCGGGACCTGAGCTGCTGTCTGGACCCAGCGCCTTTACACGTCTCTGATGTAACCCTGCAGCCGGTTCTGATGAATGCAGATGGACTTCCTGTTCCTCTTCCTGTTGAGAGAAACAGGACAGAGGAAAGCAGAAGTCCCACAGCGACACAGTGACACAGCGCTCTGACCCGGTTCTGATCCAGTCTAGTACCGCTCTGAGCCTGTTACCCTCAGAACAAAACAGCGAACAGTGAGAGCTCAGGTGTTTCCAGCCTCCCCCCCCCCGTCTCCAGGTATTAGCTCCACCCTCTGCTTTCTTCCCTCACCTGTAATTCAGCTGTTCCACTGGTTCAACTGGTTTCACTGGTTTTAGGGGTTTCAATGGTTTTAGGGGTTTCAATGGTTTTATTGCTATCACTTGTTTCACTAGTTCTACTGGTTGAACTGATTTCAATGGTTTCCTGTCCAGATCAAAGAGAAGGAGCGGCTGAAGGAGACGAGAGAGCGGGAGGCGCGCTCCAGCAGCGGCCACCTGTTCACCTCTCTCAGCGTATCGGCCACTACGCTCTGCTCCTCCTGCAACAAGAGCATCACGGCCAAGGAGGCGCTCAGCTGCCCAGGTAAACTCAGCTGCCCAGGTAAACTCAGCTGCCCAGGTAAACTCAGCTGAACCTCAGTAATCTAACCGGCCCCTCAAGGTCCACAAGCTCCATTTGTGGGTGGAGTTGGTGACGTTGGTCCTCTCTATGCACGATAGGCAAGTATACACTTAGCCATTTTCTTGTTCAGTAATGACATCATCAGTTTCTCCACTGATGATGTCATTACTGCACAGAAATACACACACAGCTGTTATACTTCTGCTGAAATGTGTTTTGGTTTCTCACATTTTAAGGCCCATTTTTCTGTTGTGAGAACAGAAACTGCTCTTAATGGGCCCCAAAGCCTGGGACCCATAAGGAGAACTACTGTTCTAGGGTCAGAGGTCAGGATTAGGACTGAGGTGTGAGTTGAGTCCATGCCTTATGAAAATAGAAGGGGCTGTGTGTTCATAGAGAGGACCGACTTCACATTCAGAATCAGAATTTAATGCACGACATTTAAAGGAAACACAGAAACTCTGATGTTAAGAATAAATAGATAAATAAATAAAGACAACAAGAGTTTTTCTTGAAGCGCCTCCTGGGGGCAGGAAGAGGTGGTGCTCGCGGTGTGACGGGTCCTTGGTGATGCTGCGGGCTCTCCGGAGGCAGCAGATCCAGTTGATCTCCCGAGGTGGAAGAGGGGACCCAGTCAGTCTGTGGGTGGTGTTGATAGCCGCTGGAGCTATCAACACCACCCTGCTGGAGAACCACGACGAGTCGCCATGGCTCAACACCAACTCCACAGAACTCATCTCTCCCTGGTTCTTCCTGAGAATCATCAGGAAGTGCGGTGTCTGCTCTGCCCTCTCGTCAGTGAGGTCCTAGCTGCCCAGGAACCTGAAATCTGACACATTCTCTAATCTGAATGTGTCCCCGTCTCTAATGATGGGGTGAATGTGTGGTTTGCACGCCCTAAAGTCGACGATCAACTCCTTCAACTTGGTTGTTCTCTGTTCTCCACTCTGTAGTCGGTTTCCAGAGAGAGGCGCCCGATCCCCATGATGGTGTCATTTGGGTGGGTGGGGCCACAGCCATGGTGTGGAGTTGGGGACAGCTGGAGCCGGTGCTCATGTCCTCTTCCTGTCCCTCTGGAAGCCGTCTACCAGTCCCCAGTTTCCTCCCAGTTTGCTTGGATTGATGGTGTTAAAAACCAAGCTGGAGTCCAGGGAGAACAGCTTCGTGGCGCTCCTTCGCTCTTCCCATTTGTTTCACTCACAGACCGAGACGGACGGAGAAGTCAGGCTACAGCGAGCCGAGCTCTGTTTGGGTCCATGTCTCAGAACTCCAAGTAGGGAAATGGACCAGGTCTATGTGACAGTAATGTCTCACCTGGCTATAGTGATGCACAGGTGCACCTGATCAGTCTGACATCACTACTGTGGTTCTTGTGAAGCCAATCAGAGAGCAGGTACTGAGCAGACTCCTTTCTTTCCCAGGATGCAACGTCACCATCCACAATCGCTGCAGGGACAGCGTGGCGAGCTGCGCCAAGATGAAGCAGAGGGTAACACCTGACTGTCTGAACACCTGACTGTCTGAACACCTGACTGTCTGAACACCTGACTGTCTGACCACCTGACTGTCTGAACACCTGACTGTCTGAACACCTGCATCTGTTTTTTGTCCCACAGCAACAGAAGCTGACATTAGTCAGAAACAATTCGGCTCTACAGAACGTCGCTTTGCGGACCAAAAGTGAGTCTACCTGACTGCCTCCACCTGTCTGCCTCTGCCCATCCTACATCCTGTTGCTCTGTGCTCGTCCTCAGCTCCGATGATGAAGGAGCGCCCCAGTTCAGCTATCTACCCCTCAGACACTCTGCGACAGTCTCTGCTGGGATCCAGGCGGGTTCGGTCTGGCCTCACGCTCGCCAAGAGCGTCTCCACCAATAACATTGCAGGGTGAGTAAAAACCAAGGTCTGATTGGCTGCTGGGAAGCACACCCAATTGCTAACTAGTAGCACCTCCACTTCCTGTTCTGTTCCTGACACTGTTGTTAAAAGCTAGCAGGTGATTGATTGGACCTGCAGTGATCTTGCCGGTCCAATCAATCGCCTGAGATGCGCTCAGAGTCCTGAGCTACAGCTTCAGATGGACTTGTCTCTCTGTGTCCCAGGGGTTCAGAGGAGTCAGTCGGTCTCCGCAGGATTCTGTCTCAGTCCACCGAGTCGCTGAACTTCCGCAACAGAACTCTCTCCATGGAGTCTCTGACCGACGACGGTATGTTGAGCTTACTGATGAGCCACTAGCGGCGGGCGCAGCGTCTGATAACGACAGGCTGTGTTGTAACAGGCGAGTGGTGGTGGAGCCCCCTGCTGGAGGAGCTGCAGGCGGAGGGCAGCTGCGTCCAGGCCGACAGCTGGAGCATGGCGGTGGACTCCAAATTCCTGCAGACGCAGCACAAAGACGTCATCAAGCAGCAGGACGTCATCTACGGTACGACGCAGGTCGCGGCCACCAGGGGGAGCCGCCGAGACACAAACACCGGACTGAGCAGGACCAGAGCCAAATAAACGCAACAAACTTTACATGTTGCCTCCACCTCTCTGTCTCCACTCGTCTCATGTCTCAGAGCTGATCCAGACGGAGTTCCACCACGTCCGGACGCTGCGGATCATGGAGGGCGTTTACCGGCGAGGGATGCAGGAGGAGGTTCTACTGGAGGCGGGTGTGGTCCACACCATCTTCCCCTGCCTGGACCAGCTGCTGGAGCTGCACGCCAACTTCCTGTCCCAGCTGCTGAGCCGCAGGAAGGATGGGCTGCAGGAGGGCAGCACCAACAACTTCACCGTCCGCCGCCTGGGCGACCTGCTGCTGCGACAGGTGAGCTCACCTGTGGGACGAAGGGGGTGAGAGGGAGTTGGGGTCTGGACAGAACCAGGCAGAACTTGGCAGGTTCAGGTCTGAGGAACCAGTTAAATAGAATATCCCCTAACCCTGTGGGGGTTCCCTCTCCCGGAGAACCCCCCACAGGGATCCCTGTGGGGATCCTACCCTAACCCACAGGGATCCGGTCCAACGCCTTCTCCAAGTCACAAAACACGTGTTGACCAGTAGGGCGAACTTTCAAGTTGTCACCTGAAATTACAGAAAGTCATTACTTTAATCAAATATTAAGCAAATATTCAATTAGTTATTATTAATAGTATGAAACACCAGTGATGTTCATTAAGGAGAAGTCTGAAAATCCCTGAACATCCTCCTCATCAGAAAAAAGTGTCTTCAGTCAGAGGCAGTAACACAGACTGCTACAGAGATCCTTCCTGCTCACAGCCGTCAGCATCAACGACTGCTGGAAGAATCTTGAAATAATTAGATAAATATTAGGACTTATTGGTAATTTAACGGCAACTGGCATTAAGCAGAACATCATTTAGTACTTTGTGCTGTGAAACCAGTTAATGCCAAGGATTAATATGTGCAGCTGCATATTATTTCATAGCTGATGAAGGAAAAGACAGGCAGTAGCTCAGGATAAACCACAGGCTAAACAAGCTATTATGGGTCAGACTGAATATTTACAACCATTAACTAGTTTAGGCCACTTCAGGTCTTACTGGTCCCATAGATCCTGCTGCCTCTTCTCATGCCTGTGTTGGGAAATGTCAGCTCACTTTACATTTGAAACCTGAAGCATTAATGCATTTATTTTCTTTTACCTGGATTTTTAAAAAGAACAATGTACAACATAATTGTTACCATTTGATGCACTGAAAAAGCCAGTTGGCCTTCAGCTCCCCCATCACTTTTACTGAGGGTCAGGGTCGGGGTCAGGGTCGGGGTCAGGGTCGGGGTCAGGGTCGGGGTCAGGGTTAGGCTCCATTCTGTAGACCTGGTCAATTACTCTCCTTATTACCAGTTATGTTGACACTGTGGTTCAGAAAACTACAACATTAAGGGAAAAAGAGCAGAAAAATATTTCTGGCCACATCAAACTTAAAGTTGGGAAGAAATTCGATAATGGTGCCACGTGGTTGATACGGAGAACCAATCTTGGCGTGATACAAACACACAAGGCGTCGGTAACAAATATGGCTTTATATGCTCTAACATGCTTGGTTATAAAATGATACAAATAAAGTATGAAAACTAATAACTTACTGAACAGATCCCATCATGTGAAATACAGAAGCGTTGTTTCCTGACTGCAGAAATCCGAATATAATCCAGGTTGGGAAGTGATGTCACTCGGCAGAAAATGCATATTTTCCAAATGAAAGTACTTTTATTTAAGCATTACTCTCCTTTGATATACATTTACATTACATTAGAATAAATGCAATGCAGTTTATGCAGGAAAGGGAGTGAAAAAAATAGGACATAACCATAATTTGAATAGAGAGGGTAATGTTTGGAGCCCCCTACTGCCTAAGTGGGGTATTGAATTTTCTAAAAACGTTCAGAGATGCAGATCTTCTAAAAGGACATAAATAGAGATTTTGCCAAAAATATTAACCACCATAAAGGGTTTATGGAGCTTTTAGATGTCCTTCATGATTTTGCACCGAACCAGCACATAAATGAATAAAAATACAAGTAAACATGGATTTATTGAGCCGATCGATCCCTCTTCAGTAACTTCACC